AAAAAAAAAAAAAGAAAAGAAAAAAAAAAGGTAAAATACACACTTCTGCAGTCAAATTGTTATACTTACTGTTTCAAAACCTCGATGTGGGTGATCAGGAAATCCTCCGGGTCTACCTCCTTTGAATTCATCAAACAGTAAAAATGGATCCAGATTTTTTAACTAAAATGAAAATAACATCCAGAAGATTAGACATGCCTTTTATGCCATGCTACCACGGCTCATTCAGGAGCAAATCTAGAAAAACTCATTGAAAACTCCACAGCCAGTGAGCAAACATTAGCAATGAAAATTGCTTTGAGAAAGAATCACTCCTATATAAACCCACGGAGATTCACTGATTATATGCGAGTTGACATTCTATGAGAACAGCCTAGAGCAGATACACATTTATTTCATGGTCACCTCATATGTAAATAATCGAGGACAACAAGATGAGACAGTCTGTATCCCGAACAGATTCATGACTGCGTGGGGGAACAGACGAGAGAATCCATCATTGTAATGGGAGCATAAACGTCAGGAGGAAAACAACTTCACACGTGTGAAACTGGAGTGGGGTCCTGGAAGCTGCTTCTAGGGAGGTGGCCCTGGAGCTGGGTCTTCAAGTAAATGGCGGGAAAAAGCGGAGAAAGAAGGGTTTCAGGGAGAAGAGCAGAGAAAGAGCCTGGCATTGCTTGAGCAAGCACAAGGGAACTACTCTGTTGGGAAAAATGAGGCACATGGAATCACGACGGAAGATGGGCAAACAGAAGGGGACCGAGAGATGGAGGGACGGGGAGAGGAAGAAAGGATTCAGATTATGTCATGTGCATTTATCACCTCCCCACGAGGAGCGTCGTTGTTCTGTGCTGCAGACATGTATTAATAGAAAGTCAAATTAAAAACAAAACACAAGGCCACTCTGTAAAAGACAATTTGGTAAGGGAAGGTAGGACAAGAATATTGAAAAGTTCATTTCAATAGTACGATACGAAAAATCAAGATATATCATGTAACAAATTCCCTATGATGAATGTTATCATTACGTATATCTAAAATGTACCGATAAAATTAAGTTTTTAAAAAAGAACTAAGGCAATGGCAGTAGTGATGGGGAGTGGCTGAGAGTGGGTAGATAAGGGGGGGAAGATGAGCATTCGATAACCCCCCAAAACTTGCAGCTATGGTGCCGGGGAAGACTGTAGGGCCACTAACCAGCTGAGGGAACGCAGGAGAAGCAAAAGAGAAGTTAGATAATTGGAAGCAGGAAGACTTTCTTCAAATGAGAAAAGGATCGAGAGATGGAAGGAGGAGGAGGAAGGGGAGAAAGGGGATGAAAAAAGAAGTGAGATGTGTTATGTACATGGGCCAGTTCCACGTGAGGAATGTGACCGCTACGGGCTGCAAATATGCAGTAATAAAAAAACGAAAACTACGAGAAAAAAGAGAAGCAGCAGCCTTGAAATAGGCATGGTAATTTCATTTTAGGCCACCGGCCTGGTATTTCTACATAAATGTTACCTGTATAAATAGAAGTACTAGTGCCTGTGCACATTATATTATGCAAATAGTAAGTGGACACAGAACACAGACCTCAAGCTCAAAAAAGAAGGACAAACACAGACCTGCTGTCCTCAGTATACCTTCACAATGACCTTGGTTATTCTTGACCATTTGTTAAACTATCGAAAGTGTAGAAAATGTATCAAATTCTGTGAAGAACGGTGTTGGACTTTTAACTGGAATTGATTTGAACCTATGGACCAATCTGGGAGGAACTGACACTTATATGTGTTTATATAATAACCCATTATTTGTATGATAGTTTTCCTATTTATAAATACAGCCGCCTCCATTTACAAAGGTCTTTTGAAAATGCCCCTCAATAAGGGTTTATAATTTTCTTCATAGAGGTTTTGCATGTATTTTTAATTTCTCCTAGATAACATATTTAATGGTATTATAAGCAGCATTTTAAACTATATTTTGAACCATTTGCTGCTGGGGATTAGAAATATGAATAGAGAAGTGATTTTGAACACCAGTAAACTCTCATTCATTTTAATAGTTCATCTTTAGCTTCTTTTGGGTTTTCTTTATAAGATATTCATATCGCCAGTGCATTCTACCAGTAAGCTTTTCCCCTAGCTGACATGGTTGCATGTGCCTGTACTCTGAGCTCCCAGGACGCTGAGGCAGAAGGATTGGCCAGTTCAAGACCAGCCTGGGCTACAGATCGAGCTAAAGGCCAACTTACTACATGGTAAGACCCTGTCTCAATCTACTGCCCCTCAAAAAAAAAAAGCAGCTTTTCCCTAACAGTTTCTTTTTCTTTCTTTCTTTCTATGTTTCTTTCTTTTCTTTCTTTCTTTTTCTTTCTTTTTTTGCTAGCATTAGATTAAAGCTGTGACACATATTGAGGATATACTCTTAAGTGAAATAAATAAGTCACACAAGTGTAAATACAGAATAGTTTCTCTGATGTGAAAAACTATAATAGTACACAAGATCCTAATGGGATAATTAATAACGTGAAATAGGAAGAAAAGGGCTAAAGGTGTAGGGAAAGTGGGAAGGGTAGGGGAAAGCGATAAGCTAATAAGGGAAAAGAAAAAAATACGAGAAAATGAAAAAATTGAAATAAAGTGTTTGTAAACGGGGAGGGAAGGAGGGGGTGAAGGGAGGGCAGGGACAAGTAGAAAAAATGAGAACCGAGACCTGTCATGTAAAGGTACAAGATCCCAGTAATGAATGTAACTGTATTATATACATAGATTGTACCAATAAACTCAATAAAAAGAAAAAAAAAAGCTGTGACAGACTGCAATTTTTCTGTGTTTTACTCACCTGGCCTCCATGTATCTTCTCAGGCTAGGACAGTGGCCACTATGGAGGGCAAGCTTGGTCAAGCCCAAAGTCAGGGAGGAGAGCACGTCAATCCTGCCCATGGGAGCCATGAGTAATGCAGTAAAAATGGGGGGGCACATAATCCTATCACAAGGACCGAGCGAATACCTGCGAGTGAAATTCCAACCAGCACCCATTAGCAAGTAACTGTTTCTTGCTTCATTTTCAATCTTCATAATTTCTACTTCTTTTTCTGGCCTTTTCGCAAGCTAGCACCTCTACAACAGTGTTAAGTTCCGGTGGCAGATGTACTGGTCTTGCCCCTGGCTCTATGCAGCTGGATTTCTGAAGTTTCACTGGTAATCAGATTGCTTAATGCAGATATTGTTTTGTTTTTAATTTTGCTTGCTTTTTCATAGATTCCCTTCATAAGACTCACGAGCTTCACTTCTATTTCTAGTTTACTAGGTTGTTTACTGTATTAAAAAACATAAATGGAGGCTTACTTCTCAATGCTTTTTCTGTACCAATTGCAGTATTTATATATATGTTCTCTTTTGCAACACTTTTTTGTGTATGATACTGGGGATTGAACACATATGTTTTAAAAAATCCATGTAATATAATTTACATACAGTATGCAATATATAATATAATTTACATACAGTATATAATTTTTAAATTATTGTTATTACAATATGCAAATATGTGATAAATACATAATGTATGTATATATTTACATAATGCGTGTGTGTGTGTGTGTGTGTGTGTGTGTGTGTGTGTGTGTGTGTATTTGAGCCGAGGTCTAACTAAATTTGTAAATTGCCCAGGCTGGGCTCAAACTTGAAATCCTAATGCTTCAGCCTCTCAGAGTGCTGGGATTATAAACATGCATCGCTACACCCAGCTTCCTTTAAACTCGGAATGTCAATAAGTTACATACAAAGATTTTCTAACATTACAGCAAATTTGCCCTTTTCAGATATTCCAAACTTGGTCATGACATATATCTTTCATATACATTGTTTATTTGGTTGGAAAATATTTTATTTGTAACTCTTGCAAAAACATTTATAATGTGATATAATTACCCTTTCACTTTTGTCCTGGCAGCAGTTTCATATTTAGTGATTTGAGGGGCACTTCTTCCAGTTTCATTCTCTGGAGAATTAATTATTAGAATTTTCTAAACCTTAAATATTTGGTAAAATTTGCCTGTAAAACCATCTGGGCCTGTTATCTTTAAGAGAGACTTTTAAAATATGGATTCAATTATTCTTACATCAATGAAACTATTTGGATTTTCCATTTCTTTTTTCTTTCTCAATATTTTTAGACTGTAAGAGTTTCTCTTACTTCTTATCAGTTCAGCTACTTGATTTTTTTAAAGTTCTTTTTTTTAATTTAATTTATTGGTACATTCTAGGTAGACAGCACAGTTACATTCATTACTGGGATCTTGTACCTTTACTAAAGTTCTTTATTTTAAGATATCTACTCTTTTGTGTTGTTAGAAATAAAAGTACAAATTTCTTTCTTTTTCTCTCTGGTTTTATTTTTCTTCTTTTAACTTTCTGTGGGAAAAAAGCATACATGCAAATACATGTATTCTTAAAGAATTCATTCACCAGGCTACTTCAAGATTTTTAGCCTAGCAAAGTTTCAACATCTTCACTTTAAAATGTGGACTATGATCCACACAAAGCAAGTTCACTTTGTAACTTATCACTGGCTAGTTTGTCATCCGGTCCAATGTTCAACTGACAGTCAATTCAAATATGTATTGAAGCCTCTCAAAAATACCAAGGGGACTTCATTTAAAGTATGTTCAAGCCGGGTGTAGTGGCGCACGCCTGTCATCCCAGCACTTGGGAGGCTGAGGCAGGAGGATCCCTGTGAGTTCGAGACCAGCCTGGGCTACATAGTGAGTACCAGATCAGTCTCAACTACACAGTGAGACCCTATCTCCAAAAAAAAAAGTATGTTCAAAGGGCCGGGGGTTTGGCTCAGTGGTTCTGCTGCCTGCCTTGCAAGCTCAAGGACCCAAGCTTGATCCCCAGTACCAAAAAATAAAAGATATGTTCAAAATTCTCCTTATTCCTCTTTCTATATATCTGTCTCCAACTTTTCCATCTGCTCTAAGTTTTTAAATTTCTTTAGATTATCTGGACAGTCTTTTCTCCTCTTCCTCTCTCCCATTCTTGATTTACTCTTTTCTGCTCTATCAGTAAGATGGAGCCTACTGCCCTTTCCAGGGAACATCAACCATGTGGATCTTGGATCTAGTCAGTCTGCTCCTGTCACTTATTACTCCATTTCAACTCAATGAAAGC